TAATGGACATGTAAAGACTTTTCCTTGTTATTCCCTAACCAGTTCCATATAACAACTAGTTACATGGCATTTACATTGCATCCGGTTTCAGTAATCTCGAGATGGTTGTAACGGGAGGGTTGGGCGGGTCACATGGAGACGCTGCACTGTTTTGTACAAGGGACTTGAGCATGCTTGGGTTCTGGTATCCACGGGGTTCTGGAGCCCTCATCCCTCCTATGCCAAAGGAGGACAGGCACACATGTGCACGCGCATGCACACACACACACACACACACACACACACGTACTTCAGACGTGTAGAAACCAGTGTTGCGTTTAAGGACTGGATTATCCCAGAGTTCAAAAGTAGAAGGAGAGGAAGAGAACATGAAAATGAAAATTTGAAAAAAAATTAAGCATGGAGGCAATGTTTAGTTCTAGGATTTGCTTAGCTTTTAAAATTTCAGATCTGGAACTTCTGTACTTTTGAATTAGGGAAGGTGTCAGAATTCCCCAGAGAGATGGGGGCACTGGATGCACAGACAGATAAACTCATGTTGAGAGCGGGTGTCAAGGCAGTGCCCATCCCTGGTGGGGGCTCAGAAGTCCTGGGCTGGTGCCTGCAGGCTCGATGCACAGAGAAGTGGGTACTGTGGTTCCGACTGGGTCTGAAAACCCCAGAACTAGGGAAGCTGATGTGTAATCACCCACAGAGCCTCAGCACCCAGGGGCTACTGGTGTGAAGCCGGGGGTTCAAACGCTGGGGGACCCAAAGTTCTGACATCCAAGTGCAGGAGAAGAAGTTTGTCCCTGTTCAGAGAAAAGAGGAGGGGCGGGGAAGGGAGAAGGATCGATTGTGCAAATTCGCCTTTCCTCTGCCTGGGCCGGCCAGCTGGACAGCGCCCACCCCTCTAGGTGTGGGTCTTGCCCACCGAGCATGCTGCTCCTGGGCATCCTTTCATCACCACACTGAGGGAACGAGGAGAAGAAAGCCTTCTCTGAAAGGCAGACATGGGCACGAGGAAGCCAGTTCCTTCCCTCTGTCTCTGGGCAAGCAGAGGAGAAGCCAAGAGGGACAGCCCACTGCAGGAAGGGAGTATTGCTTCATCTCAGCCCTTCCACCTGGACAGGGAGAGAATGTGTGCCACTGGAAGCTTTGCTAGCAGAAGGGAAGGTAGGGCAGAGAGCTGTACTCAAGGGACACTTTGACTACTGTCCTCTCCAGAGCACTGGGGAGACCTCACTAGGGAATGTGGGGTACTGACAATGAATGGCCTGGAGTCACAGGCACTTGTCCTGGGTTAGGCATGGTCTGTGTACTATCTTATCCAGACCTTCTAGCCAGTGTGTGAAGCCAGCCTTGATCAGAAACATCACTTTTTCATTAAATGCAAGATAGTTTACAAAAGAGTGATAAAATACTATTGAATGGAAAATAAATTCCATTATTTTTCTTAGAATAAGGCCTCAGGGCAACATTTAAGTTGAAAACTAAAGCAACAACAAAAATATTCCACCAATAGTAGACATATAGTATAGACATATAGTAGACATATAGCAGAAGCCATGGATACATTGGAATGACCAAAGTTAAGTAAATATTCAAGAGCCAGATTTTGTTCCCCGTGTCAGATTGAGATACCTAAGAAAATAGAAAAGATGCTATGAGATGGTTTTCCTTTAACAAGACTGTTGTGATTTCAAACACTACTAGCATGAAACATGTGTATTGTTGTCATTTATCACGTTTACTGGAGGTGACTTAATGCTTGTAGATATTACTTACACATCTCATTTGCATAATACACAACTCTTCCTTTGATCACTTATTTTCGTTTTGATGGTTTTCCCATTGTATCAAGGTAACATGAAATTCTCATTGTAGGACAGATCCAATCTAAAGTCTTCATGTCATCTTCAAAGTCCATCTTGGGGGCTGACCAATGACACTATGGAAGATTTTTTTACTTTTTGCCTGAAGACCAGTATTCTCTTGAATAGCAGACAGAGCCAGAGAAATCAGACATCTTGTTCAGTAGCTCTTTTGCCTGGCTCCTTCCCCTTGGGATATGTCTGGGTCAGGCCCGAAGAGATGAGAGGTTCTACTAAAATCCCCTAGGCTAGGAAGAGTTATTTTCTTGAACCAACCAGTTATTTTCTGCCAACCAACTTCGACAGTTTTACAAGGCACATATGAGAATAAAGAGAAAGACTGTCTTAGCAGTGATTAGCAGGCTTCCTTGTTGGCTTCTCTAGTGAGTATCTAACTATTAAACTATTCTTTGCAGCAGGAATGATTATAATTATTTACCATTTTTGAATGTTTGAGAAAGTACAGTTTACTCCACAATAAATGAACTCCATTTAAAACGAATTCCATTTCTTTTGTGCCTGAAAGAACAGAGACTCCCAGTACACAGAAATTAGATCATTTATGCAAGAATTTTAATTTAATTAAAGATAATTTAATTGATGTATAATGTATTATGCAGTGAAGACTGAGGGAATATAATATAGAGTTTAAAAAAAAAAAAAAAAAAGCAAACTGCTTCTCCTTTTCTCCTTTCAGACAGAGGGAGACCTAACTTTCAGAGGAACAGCAATCCGAACTAAATCTTATCAAGCGAGTTTCATTTCCAACTGGCATTTATGTTATTTCTGTGGCACAGCAGGTGTGAGAACATAAATCTTGCATCAAGAAACTGAAATCTACTTTAAACAATGACAATAAATTCTACACTTGTGGATGGGTGTTAAGCACAGAAACCAGATAAGACTCATAAAAGGAAGTTGTACCTACCCGTACATACCATACTGAATATATATAGATAACACATGAACAGTTATAGAATTAATCACATTTAATTAAATAACCTAAAATCAAAATGAGATTTATAATCGAAACCTTATGTAACATAACTGAATGGATACATGTTAACATTTCAATGCCAGTGTTTGAAAAGAATTTCCTGCCATTATTTATTTATTTATTTTTTCGTACCGGGGATCCAACTTAGGACCTTGTGCTTACAAAGCAGGTGGCAGAACCACTGACTAAATCCCCGGCTCCACCATTATTTTTAAATTACAATTGATATATATTTTTATGTGTAGTCTCATGTTGTATTTTCAGAATACTATTTATTAGCTAATGATTTATCTAACAGGAAATGAATTAGTCTCTTATTAAATGGGTCCGCACATTTTAAATTGATCTATAATGTAAACAGCACAGAATAGCTTATCACATGACAACTTAGGGAAAGAAGGACAGTTTGTGTTTTATTGTTCTGGTGTCAGCAAACTGAGGCAAAAGCTGCTTGTCAAAACTGAGAAGTGTTTCCTGCTGATTATACAAATCCAATTGTTCTTGCCTTTCCCTGTAGACCTTTCCCTGTAGACCTTTTTCCATTTCCAGTAGCATGTCTTTATGATTACACCCTCCAGTGGGAAAGGAGCCTTGCTCCAGAGGCCGGAACTGTGAGGTCCAATCCCACCTCTTTTACAGACTCCTGGGGTCCTTTCTGTTCCCTGCAATGTACAAAGTCTTGCATACGGTGAGGCAAGTGCTGCTTTCTAGCACCTACGACCATCTCAAGCTACTGCAGAGGTAACTGCACCTCCCCCCAGGATGAAGGAGGTGGGAAATTGGGTTGTGCAGGGTGGTGCTGCTGTGCCCCTGGAATGTCCTGTTGACTGAATTTTCCTCACTCAGCCCAACCACTGGGGCTCCTCTGCAGATGCCCATGGGACCACAATAAGCTCCTCAAAAGCACAGAAGAGTGACTTTACTGACCACCTATTTTTGTGCAACTATGTCATAGGTTTTCCTTAGAATGACTTTTCAAGTCTTCTTCCCCCTCTCCTCCTACATCATTATCCCCAAATTCTATGGGCTTTTTTAAATTAAAAATTGAGATCTTAATTACTAGGAACACCTGAGATGTTATTGGAAACCTCTGCAGTAGGCTCTGGTCTCCTACTCAGTGTACAACACAGGCCTGAGAAGAAAACTAAAAGACAGAACTAAGAGAGACAGAAAGTCGGGGCCAGGATGACCAATGCTGGTGCAACCAACAAAGGCGCTGGCCAGTCCAAGCCACTGATTTTTAATGGTAATCGACTGGGGTAAAGCTGAGCTGTGTGCAAGGGCAGAACTATGTGAGAGGATGCACAGTCATGTGGTTTCTATGGAAATTAATGTAAGCAAGGCTCACAAACAACAAGACAAAATATTCTTGAATTAGGAACAGAATAAACAAAATATATGTAATTAGAACACTGTCCTTCTAGTTAGACAGTTTCAGTTGTGGGAATGGAATTTAAGTGTGTGAGTTACTCTGACCTCGGCACGTAGGCTTCAGCCAGACTCACTTCTATAAACAAGCCAGTTGTAGGGTTAGCTCTTACAGTCTGATTTGGGGCATAATCAGTATTGCAGTCTCCTGTACTTGATGATTAATATTTGGAGAACCTACATCTTCCAGTTCTGAGTATTTGTAAGTAAAGCACTGACATGCTCTTCATTGTAGTAGAAAACAATACCAACAAGGTAGACAGAGCACAAATGCAGAATGCAGTGTGTGTAGGACCAGAAGCCAGCTCAGCCCTGCAGGGGTTGCTGGGAAATCTCTGACAGCGATGCCATGCTAGTGGTTGGATGGGCCACACAGGCAGTAGGGGAACCATGCAGAACTTTTGAGCTCTGTTGTAGGGCCATAGTTTTCAAGTGTATCACCTTGGCAGGTATAAAAATGGATACAGTCATTGACCAGTTTATAAGGTGAACAAGACAATGTCCTTGGAGAACTTAGATTGAAAGAAACTGTAGGTTCACTGGCATGAAATGGAATGGATAAAGTTCTAGCAAATGTTTTTGTTTTAGAGACATATTTTTGTGTAATTGATCTTATAATAAGACTTTGGGGATTTTAGTTTATTCATAGTTAACACTAAAAGTAATAACTAGTGTTCAACGTCAGCAAAACAACAGATGAACTAAAAATGCAGGACAGTAGAGCAAGGATGAAAATGGTTTTATTTAGAAGCTTTGGTGGCGTGTTGAAGGGTCCCATGAAACACAGTCTTCAGACTCGAGAAATAAACAAACCCAAGTTAGTGACAGAGAAGAAGAATTCCCAGAAAGCTCAGAAATGATAAGAAATCACTCTTAAGTCCTTCCCACTCCACCACAAGTGTATTACTTGAAGCATTTGTCACCTGGTTTGGCTGTTGTAATTTTCTAGCTCACTAAGTTTTTCCCAGCAGAGAGTTAAGCTTGCCATTGGTAGTCAATTTAAGTTCTGCCCCTTGAGATGAAAAAAACTGTCAGGAAGTGAGCATCTCCCTTTAACTGATGTCCTGCAAAGACTGAAGCCATGGAATCTGTCTGCAGGACTTTGCATCTCACAGGCAAGAGACAGATGGTGGAGCGATTTGCTGATCTTTTGCATTTGTGGGTGAGAGCATACTCAGGGCTCATTCTTTCTGAATTTCTATTCAAAGTTGAGAGAAAGAATGCAGGGCAAAAAGTGTAGCTCAAGTTGAATGCATGGAAAATAACAAAGATGGAGGTGGGTGGGACTTGGCCATTTAGAAAGGGAGCAAACTCATCTATTTTACTTTGGTTGCTTAACATTTCAAAAACAAAAAAAAAACATTAAATGAATACATGCTTTGGAAATAATAAGGGAAAATAACAATTTATACTCTATTAGTATGTCCAACTGAGAACCATAAGGCTTTCTTACACATCGGGTTTGAAGGAAACTGGAGCTTATAGAAAAAGATAAAAGGAAAGATTTGCACCACTAATATTTTCCTACTCCTTGAAGCTATATTCCCAGGGTAGGGGTTTCGATTTTACTGTTCTACAGGCCCAATTCAATCTTTGCCACTTGGGAGGAGTAAGCCAGAGTTCAGTCTTTCTCTGTCTGGACTGTATTTCCCTCTCACTGGGTCTCCTCCACTCCTCCACCCCAAGCTGATATCGGGGTGCAGGGAAGTGTGTGCTTCTTTTCTGCATGAGCACAGCCTAGTTGTAGACACCTGGTGCCCCCTGGCCCTGGTTCTGTCTTCTGAGCCCCGGTGGCCTCTGTAGAATGCCCCTCAGCCTGCCAGTGCTGGGTGTCTTGAGCCTGGCTGTTTGGGGCTGGTTTCTTGGGGATCTTGGGGGGCCCGCTGCTGACCTCCATTGCCCCGTCTTGGCCTTTGAATGCTATGCAACCTCTCGGTCCTGTGGTAAAATGGGCATGCATACAATTTACCATCTCAAGCACATTTAGGAGTTCAATTCAGTAGCGTTAATTGCTATTTCCAGATTTTCTCGTCGTCCCAAACAGAAACTCTGTGCCCAGCAAATAATTGCACCAGATTCAACTTTCTCCCCAGCTTTTGATAACCTGTACCCCACTTCCTGTCCCTGGGAATTTGACTGCCCCAGGCACCCACATAGGAGCAATCTTAAACTATTTCTCCTGGCCTGGGGGTGTAGCTCAGTGGCAGAGCTCAGGGTAGTGCCGGTTCAATCCCTGGCCCTGAAGAAATTCTCTGTTTACATCTGTTTATTTCATTTAGCTGGATGTCTTTTTAAGACTCATCAAATAGCATGTATCTGATTTTCATTCCTCTTTATGATCCCATATTACTCTATCAAATGTATATACCACAGTTTTGTTTATCCATTGAGCTTATTTCCACTCTGGCTACTGTGCATATGGGTGCACAGGCACCTACTGAAGTCCTGCTTTCAGCTCTTCTGGTTGTGCGTGTGGACAAGGAATTTCTGGATAGGGCCTCACTTTGTATCTCAGGACACTTTGGACCGTGTCTGTCGGTGGCCCAGGGATGTGAAACTCACTCCTACTGAGGGTGCAAGGTGGGCAGCAAAGCTGAGGCTGTCCTGAGTCTGTCTGTTGGTTACATGGTTCTTCCTCTGTCTGCCTGCTGTGCCCTCAGTGCCTGCTGTATGTGGGTGCTGCTGAGGGATCCCAGGACAGGGTCAGCTTCCCCTCCACGATTCCCTGCAACCTCTCTGGTAGGAGGTTCTCGCCTCGAGAGGGTGGACGCCACGACACAGTGTGTGTCCCCCCTAGTAACGGCTCGTCCTGCTCACCCTCTTGGCATTGGGAACTGCCCTTGCACCGACCCTCTTGCTGCTGGGTGGAGGGTGGGGAATGTAGCTCAGTGGTAGAAAAAGAAAACCATGCTCAAGCCTGTACCCGCTGCACCCCAGTGCTTGAGCCTGGTGCTCTAGGAGCCTGAACAGAGAAGGTGAAAGAGCACAGTGCAGGAAAATCCAACATGATTTTCTTTTCCATTTCTTTTTGGAAGTGCTTGGGATCAAACCCAGGTTTTTGTGCTTTCAATATGGATAGGGAATTTTAGAGTTTAGCATTCCTATTACTTTCAACAATGCCTATTATTTTCAAAAAAGTCAGAATTTCCAAAATGCTACCTCTGAACATTAAAAAAACCTAGCTTGAGACTCAAGTTGAGCTTTAATTTCTTTCTTCCTAAATGGTCAACTTCAGAATCATCAATTCAGGGGCAGCTGCAGCATGGTGGCAGGGCGTCTGAGCACCTGCGCGTCAAAGCCAAGCCCCTGCTGTGGTCCATTTCTGGGCACCGTGGGCTCCACAGTGCGTGCAAATGAACGATGTAATGACCGAGTTAGCTAAAGAACACCCTCAAGTTTCATTTGTGAAGTTGGAAGCTGAAGTGGTTCCTGAAATATCTGAAAAATATGAAATTAGTTCTGTTCCCACCTTTCTGTTTTTCAAGAATTCTCAGAAAATCGACCGATTAGATGGTGCACATGCCCCAGAGTTGACCAAAAAGTTCAGTGAACGACATGCTTCTAGTGGCTCCTTCCCACCCAGTGCTAATGAACATTTTAAAGATCTTAACCTTGGCCTGAAGAAGTTAATATATGCTGCCCCCTGCATGTTGTTCATGAAAGAAACTCCTCAAGAACCACGCTGTGGTTTCAGCAAGCAGATGGTGGAAATTCTTCACAATCATGATATTCAGTTTAGCAGTTTTGATATCTTCTCAGATGAAGAAGTTCGGCAGGGACTAAAAACCTATTCCAATCGGCCCACCTATCCTCAGCTTTATGTTTCTGGGGAGCTAATAGGAGGACTTGATATAATTAAGGAGCTAGAAGCATCTCAAGAATTAGATACAATTTGGCCCAAAGTTCCCAAATGAGAAGAAAGGCTCAAAGTGCTGACAAATAAAGCTTCTGTGATGCTCTTTATGAAAGGAAACAAACAGGAAGCAAAGTGTGGATTTAGCAAACAAATTCTGGAAATATTGAAGAGTATTGGTGTTGAATTTGAAACATTTGCTGTATTGGAAAATGAAGAAGTTCGGCAAAGATTATAAGTGTACTCAAACTGGCCAACGTACCCTCAGCTGTATGTGAAAGGGGAGCTTGTTGGAGGATTGGATACAGTTAAGGAACTGAAAGAAAATGGTGAATTGCTGCCAATACTGAGAGGGGAAAATTAAAAATGTGAAACCTGGTGCACAGCTATTGCAAGACATTTAATTATAGTGGAGCAGTTCATGACTGGGTCTTCAGAAATGGACTAGGAATAGAAAAATGCTTCTGACACAGTTATGCTTTGTGTATTTCACACGGTTGTGCTAAATAAATGTATGTTACATTTTCCCACCAACAATAGAATGCAATAAACATCTTAATTCAGTTAAAAAAAAAAAGAATCATCAATTTAGTAAAGGAGGAATTGCAGGGTAGGAAACAATGTATCCGTGTATGAAAACTGCTCTTCTCCCAGCATTACCAATTACCTCCACCCATGCGGACTGACTCCTTGGCTGCATGGTTAAAAAGAACTGCAGAAGCTCAGGCTACTTTCTGTGATTACTAACTTCCGATGGCTTTCCAGGTTTGAAATAAAATGCAAGTGCTCATAGCAAATGCCGGAGCCTCGGGGGTTGGTTAACCAGTTGCTGGGAAGGCGGTGGGAATCCTTCCCCTTGCTTGGGCTCCTCAGGGCTGCAGCTCACCTGTCGGCGCAGTGAGGTCTCCTGTGGCCTGGAGAGTCAGGCGGAAGAGCAGGCAGCAGTCCCTGCGAGAGGAGTAGCGGTGGAGAAGCCAGCAGCGCGCTGGCAGCACATCAGGCCCTTCTCCTGCTGTAGAGTGTTTCCTGGGGACACGAACTCCTAGCCACCCCACAGTATGAGGTGTGATCACAAAATGGGGAGAACATTCAAATTTTTAAAAATTATTATGGCAAAGGGTACATTGCCATTAATTCTCCAGCTTTGAACACTTACTCCATTGTTCCTGCCACTTTCTACAACAGTTCTGGAGTCCTCTTTCCCAGGTGTCTTTTGTTTGCCGTCTTTGCTGCCTCAATGTGCTGAACTGATTCCAAACACTGACCTTTCATGGTCACGTTGACTTTGGGGAAGAGCCAGGAGTTGCAGCATGCCAGGTCCAGTGACTAAGGTGGATGAGGACGCGCCACCATGTTTTTACAAGCTGCCTCAGTGTTGGCTGGTGCTCAGCAGCAGGCACCACATTTTTGTAAAGACCCTCAGGAAAGGGGACTCCAGAGCTGCTTCAAAAAGTGGCAGGAACAATGGGATAAGCGTGTTTCGGCGGGGGGAGAATCTTGAGGGGACTCACGGCTATGCGTCTTTTCTATATTTTCTAAGGAATTTTTGAACACTTACCATACATTTTATCGCATCTCGTATACACTGGTTTACTTCAGAATAGAGCCTGTCTAACCTAAGAAGCTGGTGCACCCGGGCCCTCTGCCCCCTCTTCCTGGGGGAGCAAATCTCAGAGGCTCCGAGCTCCAGAGCCAGGCTTCTCTTCAGTCTTCTGTTCAGTACACTTGCCAGACCCTGGTTTGGAACAGGGGACGCACCCTAACCTTTGCACTGAGAGGAAGAAACGTCTCTTCCTGGAGAGCACCGTACAGCTGGGCAGACCTCTGGGCTCTCAGGCAGTGCCGGACTCCCGGAGAGGAGCACAGGTGGTGAACCGGAACAGTGGCTGGCGACCCTGCCGTTTTGCACTTTGCGTCTGTCCCTCTGGATGGCTGATCTGTCCTCGTTGGAGGCCTACTGCCTCAGCCTGGCTTGTCCATGCCCAGTGCCTGCCATCCTGTAAGATCGCGCCTGGCCAGTGCTGAGCTTTCCAAACTTCGAGACTTCTTAGCCTGTGTTTCTCCTCAAAGCCTCTCTGCCCGAGTCTGCAGAGTGGCTGGGAACACATTCACGAGGGCGGCTTGGGCTTCATTTAATCTGGCAGCTCTTATAGGCAGATGGTTGTGAACCCCACCTGGGCAGTCGTGAACACTTTCAGGGACCCATTAAATCAAAGTCCCCAGGCCTGTGTCTGGAGAATGTGTTAGAAGAGAGCTCCATGGTTCTGAGCCCAGCCACATCAGGACTCTCCATGTTTAAATAAGCACCTGTCTGCGACAGCTGACCCTGAGCCTCAGGATGTAGAAGAAGCACTTGCCATGCTTTCGGGATGCACGCTGGAGCCCCCGCCTGTGAGCGTGGCTGACAGCTCACTGAGACGGCACTGGTGATCTGAGAGCTGAGCCGGGATCCTGTGCTCAGTGCTCCTGGTGAGCTGTGTGGATCCAAACCAGTATTCACAGTGTGGGTGCCCCGCCCCTGGCCGAGGACGCATAGATCTCAGGACCCTGAGGGCTGAGCAGACGGGTTCCCCACAGGGGAAGGAAAGGACCTGCCGGCTGGAGGAAGCAGCAGACTGGATGGTTTTCTCTGTCCTCACCGATCCTCGTACCCAGGAGACCCGCAGTCTGTGGGGAGTCAGTCGCACACCAGGCGCCCACTTCTGGGGGGACAGGGTTGTTGCTCCCCAGCCGTCTGGAGTGGACCGGATGGAGGGATGTGTGACCCAAGTGGAACTGAGTTTTGCTCCGTGTAATATTAGCAGGCTGAGTTGATGGAGTGAACAAATGTGTGCACAGATTCTAAAAGGGGCCCTTGATAAACTTTCCAAGACAAGTGGACCGACTTATGTGGTAAAGTGATAAGGGTTATGCGGTCCTGCATTAATACGGAAATGCATTTCTGCACTGAGACGAACCTTGAACCTGAGCCGCCCACAGCTTCCCAAAAGCCCGTTTAGTGATGCTTGGAAGAGAAGAAGGCATGAGGAGACATGAAGGTAAAAGACGAGTAATTCAAAATTCATTAAAATCCCCCTGCAGTACTTCCTCTCCAGATGTTTAAAGCACATGGTTAAAGGAATCCTTTTCGCAGAATTCAGGGACACTCTCGAGTTGCTCTTATAAAGTCAAGGTCAAAAATAACTTAGTACTGGATTCTCTGCTGTGTGCTGTGCCCTTTAAAGAGACCCGGGATGGATTGCCTCGGGGTTTGGCAATGCGTGTGACGAATCACTTCTGACTTCCGGACACAGAGGAACATGGTTTGTAGTTAACTGTCACTAATTAGCTAGCGTCGGTTAAAGGAGACCCTCATTGGCACTCCAGGTCGTGGAAGCCATCCTTCTCACTCCACTAGTGCAAGGTCTCCCGGCTGTTCCTAAGGGGCCACCTGGACACTTGGGTGATTTGAGTGGAATTTCGAGCCGTGGCCACCCCCTCTGCTCACCCGACTCGCAGTGGCCTCTCGTGAGCTCCAAGGTGTGGCAGACATCATTCCAGCCCTTCACGTGTGCGTTATGTTTGATTCACAGCATCTTGGCTTTTCATTTTCCACGTAATGAAGGTGAGACCGAGAGAGTTTGAGTGACTCGCACAGGGTCACACGGCCGGTAGGTCCCGCCAGGATCCCACCCCGGGTCTGCCTGGGTTCAAAGCCCGAATTCGGCATCCCCAGGTCTTTTCCTCTCTTTCTCTAACCTGCGATTTTATGAAATTTTTAAATAAAAAGCATAGAGTTCTTAAGTGAGGCAGTGTAACAACATAAAGGAGAGGTGGGCAGGGCCCTGGGACGGAAGGGAACGGCCGCTTCCGGTCCGGCCTGCTGGAGACCCCCCCCCCCTTTCCCCCCCCCCCCCCCCCCCCCCCCCGGCCGCTGTCTCCCCCTCGGTCCCCGTGCTCAGTGAACGCGGGGCTCTGCTCCTCGGCCGGGGAATGAATGAGTGCGCAACGAAGAGTCGCGAGCCAGCTGCCTTGACAGGCCCCGCTCCGCACTGCTGGAGGCGTTCACACGTAAGTGGGATCACAAACTTGTGGAGGTGTAAGCGCTAAAATACCCTGAAATTCTCTGACTGCAGTCTTCAGGGTGCTCGGTGGATGCTGACTCGTAACCGCCGCGTGCGCGTCCCACCTGAGGTGTGGAGCGTCCTCTTCCATTTGGTGGCACTCGGCCAGCCCATGCCGGCCCTGTCTTGCCTGCCTCCACCATTTTCTGTGCTTTCTTGAAGGGCCGGGTTAGCTGCTCTGTGGCCCACTGCAAGCTCTGGTTCCCGGAGCTGACCTACAAGGTCAGGGCCCTCGGACTCACCAGGACAGCGTGCTCTTCGGCAGCCTTCTCCTCCCTCCAGCATCAGCTCTCTCCAGGCTCTGCTCGTACCTTCGCTTCATTTTGGTCTCCCAGGGACAAAGACCAAAGCAGAGGCTGGGTGGGAGCTCTCAGCATGGCTGTTGGCGCCTTTCCATGGAGGCGCCGGCACGTGCCCCTGTGGCTCCTTCCTCTCTTCTTCACTGGGCTCAGTCAGAATCAGTCTTGCAGGTCGCCGGATTCCGGTGCTGGGCACAGCCCAGGTGGCCTGCCCAGCAGGTGCTTCCTGTCTCACAGCTCTGGAGGCTGGAGTTGGAGACCGAGGTGTTGCAGTTGGCGGCTTCTGCAGCCTCTGCCATGACCTATAGGTGTCTCCATCTGTGTCCGTGTGTTTTTCCTCCATTACTGACCTTGTCCAGCTTCCTTTTGCAAAGACTGTGCCATATTGGCTTAAGGTGGGGATGGCAGCTAGCTGTTTGTTATCACTGAAAGCTCTGAAAAGTTCGCATCACTGGATTACAGTCTCCTGCCCTTGTTTTTATTTATTTATTTATTTTTTGCGGTACCAGGGATCAAACTCAGGACCTTGCGCTTGCGAGGCAGGCACGGCGCTGCTGAACTGAATCCCCGGCCCTCCTGCCCTCATCTTAACTCTGTCACCTCTTTAAAGACCCTGTCTCAAAGTACTATTCCATTCAGAGGGACTGGTGGCCAGGACTTCAGCATGCAAATGGGGGACGCAATTGGGCCCACAGCGGCCCCTTTCCCAGTCAGCAGCTGGCTCCAGCGGGTCCCCACTGGGTTCACGGCGGCCAGTGTGGAGCAGGTTTTGTGCTGTTTGGCCCCTTCTTCACCTGGTGGAGGTGGAAGGTCGGAGGTAGAGGGGCCGTCTCTGCTGGTCTGCTCTTCCTGGCCGGGCGCGGGCCTGGACGGTGCTCACTGCCTGTAGCCTGGGTGGAGCCCTCTTCCAGTCCCCCTGTCTTCTCCCTCCTGTCTGGGCTGTCTCCTGAGTGTGCGGCTTCGGCATCTTCCCCAAGACTCCACAGAGCCATCCTGCCCGCCGCTCCCTGCGAGGCCAGGCAGGTCTCAGGGGCCTGGGTGCGCCGTGCCCCCACTTTCGCTTGGGCAGGTGGCTTCTCCCAGTCCTTCTCCCGCTCTAGCGCAGCGAGCAGTTTGCAGGAACATTTTGCTGCCATCTTCTGTGTTCACCCTAAAGCAACACACACTTGAGTTTCACCCAGAAACCACTCAACAAAGAATGAATTGCTCTAAATCTTCCTGTGGATTTAGAGCAGCCATGCAAGCAATAAGCACTTAAATGGCATTTTACACTTATACATCGTCTTAAAACGCGACGCAGCAAATCACGGACGTGGTTGATACCGTGATCATCAGGTTATTGTGGCCGGCGTTTTAATGGCTGCCAAGTTTTGGCCTCATTGAAATGTGTGTCTCTGCATACATCTTGCACGGTGGTCTTGCCTAAGGCACTATCTATCCCCAGCACTAATCACATTCATTACTTATGTGGTGGACCTTCTGACCCCCTTCCTTCCTTCCTATGGAGTTCTTTGTGAGCAGAGTCCCTCCCAGGTGACCTGTGCACCCAGGCAGTGCTCGGGCTGCTCACCAAGGGCACGGTCACGCCAGCCGTGCAGGTCGCTGTCCACCCAGGTCACCGCCTCTGGGGAAGAAGTGTCAAGTCTGGCCGCCAGGCAGCTTTTCTGTTTCTCTTTCAGCCCTGGAGTGGATGCTGAGCGTTCCTCCGTC